TTTCCATCTTTCCGTCTTCCTCCCTCTCAACCTCCCAAGGGTTCGACCTCTCTCGGGACTGCTGTCCCTGCATTCCTCTCTCTTTCTCGGTCCCGCCATCTCTCGGGCTCTCTTCGGCACCTCCATTACTCTCTTGTGTTTGGGCCACAGCCCGTCGATCGCTCGGTGTTGGCTCAGATGCCACCTCTCTCCCGATCTCACTCTCCTCTCTGCTGTTCCTCCCTCCTGCCCCCGTCTGTGCTCCCTGCCTGACAATTTGACTCGAGAGCTGCCAGAATTACAGCCGTCCCTGCACTCTTGACGGAAACCACGCTTTGGTTATTTTTGTCACAGTGAAGTAGGAATTTCAGGACATCAAAGAACAGAGAGCAGACACCGAGAAACGCTCCCCCTTTGTTCCCCATCAAATCCAGTGCCTAGCGCTCCCGCAGCGTGTACCTACATCGCTCCTGGCCTCTGCAGGAAAGTGAATTCTTCAGCCACCCCCGGTCCCGAGCCCCAAGTTTCCCCAGGAAACGGCAACCACCAGCAAGAGACGTTTCCCACTCCGTACATTGTTCTGAAAAGAGGACTCGACAACGAGGCGTAAAAATGTTTCGAGACCTTTACCGTCACACTAAGAAAAGAAACATGTGGTCTATCGGCTGACTCTTGCTATTGTTCCATACTGAACATTTGCATCGCCCTCCCCCCCCAAAAAATTCATATGTTAAAACTTAATGTTCGATGTAATGGAATTAGGAGGTGGGGCCCTGGGGTGATTAGGTCATGAGGGTGGAGCCCTCATGGATGGGGTTAGTGCCCTTATAAAAGAGACCCCAGAGAGCTCTCACTCTTTCTTCTTGTGAGGACACGGCAAGAAGACGGCCGTCTGCAAACCGGGAAGTGGTCCCTCACCAGACGGAATCTGCCTGCCCCTTGATCTTGAACTTCCTAGCCAGCCTCCAGAGCGATGAGAAATAAACATCTGTTGTTGAAGCCGCCCAGTCTCTGGTAATTTGTTACAGCGGCCCAGATGGACTAAGACAGCTAAGTAGCGAATCTCCCCCAATAGTAATGGCTTAAAACAATACCTTTGGGTCAGCTGGATGGTTCTTTGGGTCTCGGGTGAGCTCCTCCGTGCATCGCAGTCAGCTGTGGGCTGGATAAATGGCTCTGTTTCTGAGAGTTGGCTGGATGCCAGCCTTAGGTGTACTCGGTGCAGTCTCTCACCCTCCAGCAGGTTCCAATGGCACTGGGAACCTTGCAAGAGAGCAAAGAGAAGACACAAGGACTCTTGAGACCTAGGCTCAGAATCGACACAGGGTCACTTCTGCCCCGTTCTGTTGGTCAAGGTCAGCCAAATTCAAGGAATGAGGGAACCAACTCTGTCCCTTGAGAGGTAGAACTAAAAGTCACAGAGCAAAGGGTATAGGTGGGAAGACTGTGGCCACTTTTTCTTTACTTGTGACACTGATGGGGAACTGTGATGCTATTCTCTTATATGAATACAAAGAGAAAGCAGGCCCAAATTCTAGTCGAAAAGGGTGTATTTCACAGGAGATCCGAAGAGTGAGTGGCTCGTACTTCAGAGCCAGGAAACAACCCATTTGTGACAGTCATTACAGATGTTCTCAACATTCTGGCCCTTCCTTCTGGGCACACAGTAGGGTTACACGCCCCTGCCTATTTGAAGTTTGGCAGGCTCATGTGACTTGCCTTGAGCAGTGTAATGTGTGGACATTTTAAGAACTAGTACACACTTGACCGTATGTTAGATTTTCCCTTGGCCGGGGTGACTAGACAGTGGCTGCTCCATCATTCTGGGTCCCAGAGACAATGTGAACAATGGACTAGAGCTTCCCACTGACCCATGATGCACTTGGTGCATGAGCAAAAAATAAACCTTGGTTGTGTCACGCCACTGAGAATGGGAGGAATGTTATCGCAGCATGGCCCAGCTTATACTGACTAATATGCCACTCCAGGTATTTTAAGCATAAAGGGATCTAACGCAGGGAAATGAGTTACGATTTTAAAAGTCATTGGGTACAGCCACTATGGAAAACTATTTGGCGGTCCCTCAAAAAGTTAAGCATAAATAACCATCCGATCCAGCAATTCTAGTCCTAAATATATACCCAAAAGAACTGAAAACAGGGAAGCAAACAGATACTTGCATATAACTGTTCGCTGCAGCATTACTCACAATAGCCAAAAGGTGGGAACAACCCAAGTGTCCATCGGCAGAGGAATAAATAAACAATATGTGGCCTATATATATGATAGAATGTTATTCAAACAAACAAACAAAAAGAAATGAAGGACTGATACGTACTACAACATGGATGAACCTTGAAGACATTATGCTAAGTGAAATGAGCCAAACGCAAAAGGACAAATATTGTATGATTCTACTTACATGAAATATCTAGAATAGGCAAATTCTGTGCTCACTTAAGCAGCACATATACTAGAGAAAGCAAATTCTAAGACAGAAAGTAGATTAAATGTTACCGGAGCTGGATGCAGGAGGAAAGGGACAGTTATTGCCGAGTGGGTACAGAGTTTCTGTATGGGGTCAATCCCATTCATGAGGGCTCCAGCCCCATGATCTAAGCACCTCCCAAAGGCCTCGCCTTTTAGTCAAGCATTCGGTCTATGGCGATCACCCTGACCATCATCATCATCACCATAACCATCACCATCGCTTTGATCACCAACATTATCGTCATTACTAACCCCATTATTCCTCTTCCTCCATCACCACCATCACCATCACCACCACCACCATCACCATCACCATCATCATTACCATCATCACCATCACCATCACCATCATCACCATCATCATCACCATCACCATCGACATTACCATCACCATCATAATCATCATCACTGTCACCATCATAATCACCATCATCACCATCAACATCATCATCATCACTATCACATCACCATCACCACCATCATCCCCATCATCACTATCAACATTATCATCACCATCATCACTATCACCATCATAATCATCATCATCACTGTCACCATCATAATCACCATCATCACCATCACTATTATCATTACCATCATAATCATCACCATCATCACCATCACCATCACCATCATCATCACCATCATCACCATCATCATGGCTGTCTCGGCTTGAATTTCCTCAAAAACAAACTCTTAGACAAGACCTTGAGTGCAAGTGATTTATTTAAGAGGTGATTCCAGAAATCACAAGCGAGGAACGTGAGATGGGAAAGACAAGAAATCTGACAAAGGGTATGCTCATGAGTAAATTACTGCTGATGAAATGGGATTTAATCCCACAGGGACCATGCCTCAGGACTGTCTCCTCCTCATACGACAGAGAAGCTGAGACATTTGTCCACCCACTCCCATCATCTACGGATTGAGGATAGCTCCAGGAACATGGTTTTATTTATATATTGCTGCATAGCAAGTCTCAAACAAAAGAGCTTTAAAACTTTTGTATATCATTTCCCAAGGTTTCTGTGGATGGACTGCTGGGCAATTCTCACCCAGGGTCTATTATTCAGTGGACATGAGATGATGGCTGGGGCCGTACTCACTTGAAGGCTCCACTGGGCTGGACGTCCCAGGAGGCTCACACACATGGCTGGCAGTTGATTCTGGCTGTCAAGTGGGAGCAGAGCTGAAACTTTTAATCAGTGCCTACATGTGGGCTCTCCATATGGTTTGGGCTGAAAAGCAAAATGAGCAGAGAAATGAGATAAATTGCCTGGTTCTCATCTTTCTACCCACTCGCCGCCCCCAACATACACACTTATTGCTCTGCAAATGACTACTTAACCTGAGGCACAGTACTAATATTAGTGCCTTTATATCATCCCTTCTCAAATGCTCAGGTTTGAGTACAACATTCAGGTTCTCCCACTGCCCTCCCATGGTGGCCTAGGCTGGGACATGACCACCTGTGGCAGATTAGATTACTCTTTGAATGAATGAATGAATGAATGAATGAAGTCTTCATTCCATCCACCTAATCTTCGTGGACTTCTGCCTTTTTACACTGAACTTGGCCAGGTGACTTGCTTGGCCAATACGACGATGGCACACAGAACACAGAGATTGATATGTACCTATGCAGGGGGCTCACATCTCTGCCGTCACCATGAAAAGAACATTCGTGGCATAGGATGTTGGACACACCTGCCAAAGCCAGCCAAGTTCAACTCACCCACGAACAACCGAGGGAGCCCAGCCAAGAACAATGAGCCATCCAGCCATGCCCAGCCCCAATTAACTGAGCCCCCAGATGACCTTGGACTTTTGGGCGAGCCCAGGCAAGACCAGCAGAGCCACCCAGCCATGATCAGCGCACCATCAGCCAAACTCCCAAATGCCCGGGCTAATCAACACTTGTATGTGTACATCATACACAGGTTTTGTTTGGTTGGTTGCTTGCTTTGGTTGTTGTCCAAAGATAGTTAACTGATACATTGCATGGCATATCCAAAGATCATCACCAATGGATAGTTGCAATGTGAGTGCATGACCTCCAGATTATGTTTATTTATGATACAGGGACCACATAGCAAGATGGTACTGGCAAAATAGTGAAGACTTGTATCCAGAACCAGATGTTAAATGCAGATGACCTGGAAGACTAAAGGTGATTTTGTAACCTCACGAGTTTCAGGGTAATGTGGCTGGGGGGTTAACAGGCTGGAAAACCCAATGCTCAGGACTTCCTACGACTTGGCAGGGCTTCGCTCACATCTTTCCAGAGGCCAGATGACTTACGATACTGCAACAGACCAAATACAGAAGGAGCTATGAGAACCCAGTTGTCTACTATTGTGCAGGTATTAAATATCCTCAGGAATGTGAAATACTGCAACTTTTCTCGTTAATTGTTTTATTTTGGAAAATACAGCATTTCTAAATGTTATTTATGTTAAAGTGCAATGAGTTTCTAAATGCCCACCAATCGATGAATGCATAAACAAAACACGGCCTCTGTGTCCAATGGAATATTACTCAGCCTTAAAAAGGAAGGAAAATCTGCAACATGCTGAAACATGGATGAACCTTGACATTATGCTAAAGAAATGAGACAGATGCAAAAAGACAAACATTATGTGATGCCATTTGCATGAGGTAAATAGAATAGGCAAATTCATAGAGACAGAGAATAGAGGTTACCTGGGGTTGGGAGGCAGGGAAATGGGGAGTTGTTGTTTAATAGGTACAGGGTTTCAGTTTGAGAAAATGAAAAAGTTCTGGGGTCCCACGGTAGTGATGGTTGCACAACTGTGTGAATTTGCTACCAAACTGTACACTTAAAAATGGCTAACTATGGCCATGCCACCCTGAACGAGCCCGATCCCGTCTGATCTCGGAAGCTAAGCAGGGTCGGGCCTGGTTAGTACTTGGATGGGAGACCGCTTAGGAAAACCAGGTGCTGTAGGCATAAAAATTAAAAAATAAGGGATTGTAAGCTGACAAGATCCTTGTGATCTGTGAGGTCAACCAAGGGTTGCCTCGCCTAAAAAAAAAAAAAAAAAAGGTTAAAATGGTAAATTTTATGTCATGTACATTTTACCACAGTAAAATAATTGCCAAAAATGCAATGGATTTATTATGGTTATTTTTAAAAGAAATAATTTTGTTACCATCTCAGTCTTAATTCATTACCTAAATATTGATAGATATAACCCACCAACACAAAAACTCTTTGGGGGTCCTCGATAATTCTTAAGGGTATAAAAGAATCCTAAGGCCACTGCTCTAGGTGCAGCTGAGGTGAGCCTGAGCTGGCTGCACCTCGCCCCCGTGATTGTCTGCAAAGATTCGCCAACCCCTGGAAATTCAATAGCAAAAATGTAGTTTAAGTTTATCCTGGCCAAAGTAGACAGGCGACCTCCAGTGGAAATACAGAGTATTGCTTGACAGCGGATAATTTCTCTGCTGAGTAATTTACATTGTAGAGTCCACTGAGATTCTACAATGAAACAGAGGCAGAGATGGTCGCCTGAAATGAGGACTTTATTTCAGCATATTAACTTTCGATCCTCTTTTCATACACATTCACACGCACATAGAGGCTCACAGTCACATTCACACATGCACACAATTACACAGACACAACTAGATGCTCACAAACACACAGCACCCATAGATATGATCACACACTAGCAATCTCTCACACAGACCCACACACACACACAAATGTGACATCCAAAGAGACACAACCTCACACGTGGATACACACTCAGTCATCACACATACTTTCAAATACACGGACATTAAAAATAGTGTATCATTAACAAAGAGGACTTAGTAAGTGAAAGTCATTTTCTATTTTTAAAAAGTTGTAACGGAAAATGGGTTTCTACCCAAAGCCATTAAATAAATGTTGAGCAAATAATTAAGATGAATGTAGGTTTGGCAGCATGCCCAATCAGAGATCCACAATCCCTTAGCTGAAGTCCTTGGAGACAGATGGCGTTTCAGAACTCAGAATTGTTCCAATTTTAGAAAGGTAATTCTGAGCGGATGCCATATATGACGTAACATCCATCATGTGACACTCCCAGGGGCTGAAGCAGCCCCCTCCCCAGCAGACATGTTAATGTATTCGCAGCAAAATGTGTGAAAATTCACACCAAGAAAAGATAAAGAAAGAAGTGTAAATAACTCATATTAGTTGATTTGCCACCGTGTGAGATTGGGCAAAAATTATCCCCCAAAGAAATATTTTTTGGTTGTCAGAGGTTTGGGAGATATTTAGTTACAGATAAAGGAAGCGGGTTTGAACCAGCAGGCCCCTCGCCCGTGCATCTACATATATTCCTGCTCTGATTAGTAAACGTTCCGTTTCCGCGGATGGGCGTGGGAGAGGACCGAGGACCCAGGACCCAGGACCCAGGACCCAGGAGGACGGCGATGCTTCAGCGACCCCTTCTGGCAGTCCCAGCCCTTGCAATTCGGCTGCGGAGTTGGGATATCTACAGGCTTTGGACCGATTGGTCTAAATCTTCAGAGAAATCCCATCTTCACTTTCCAGTGAGTGGTTCAGGAGCCCAAGCCTTAAGCAAACGGCATCTGACATCCCCCTGGCGGGATGCGGAGAGGAGGGAGAAGTGGTCCATAGGTGTCATGTGACCCGGGTTGATCCAATCAGATTGAAGGAAAGCCCCTTGGCTCACCAGTAGGGGCCAAGCTGCCTTATATCCGAGAGATGGGAATGAGTTCGCAGGTGCTTGGATCTGTGGGCCCCCGGCGGGGTCGCTTGGGGGATGAGGCTGGCCCCGTGCACAGAAAGAACTAGAAACAGTTTACGTCCCTGTGGTGACCACGGGAGGGCGCTGCTCAGGTCTCCTTTTAAGAGATCCTGCTGCCTCCTTCCTGCGCTACCAGTGACAGAACTCGGTGGGCAGTAGTGCCAGCTCATGACCACCGGACCCGTTTGCTCAAGGACCCCCAACCCATGGACACACACCCAGACTTCCCCAGAACTCTATCACAGCCTGGGGCTCCTCCCACACAGCCCCTCCTCGCTTCTAACCTTTCACAGATTTCACGGGGCTCCCAGCTTCCACCATCGCCCCCGACAATCCATTCCCCACGGGGCGTTCAGAGGGCCGCTCACGACCTAAGTTGGCTCACATCCGTTCGTCCCCAGCTCGGAAGTCTCCCACGGCTCACTCTCACTCAGAGTAGAAGCCCAGGCCCTTGCTGTGGCCCATTAGGCTCTGCGGTCTCCCCGTTCTCTCCCGCCACCCCTCCTCCCGCTCTCCCCCTCACCCGCTCAGCTCCAGCCTCGTTGGCCACTTTGCTGTTCTTCAAACAAGCCGAGCACCTCCGGCCTCAGGGCCTTTGCACTTGCTGTTCGCACTTTCTAGGGCGCTCTTCCCCCGGAGCCGTGCACGCCCCGACCTCCCTTCTCCCAGGCTTCTACCAGCAGCCAGCAGCTCCATCATTCCGCCTTTACTCCGATTACATCACTCCTTTGAGCTTATTACCACCCGACCGAACATATATTTAAGTTATTCATCCTATTTCTTGTCTATCTCCCCACTGACATGTCCGCTCCATTGAGAACAGCAATTTTTGCCTGTTTTGTTCACTGCTGCATCCCCCGTGCTGAAAATAAGGCCTGGCACATAGTAAATGCTCAACAAGTATTTGTTAAAGGAAAGATTAAGGGATAGTGACCAAAAGAGAAGCCGAGAAACAGGGAGAGAGAAAGGAAGAGAAAAAAAGAAAAAAGGGAGGAGATACGAGAGGCTGAACCAGGTGAGAAATGGGACAGGTGGGGGGGCAGGAAAAGGGGCAGCAGAGCTGGGGCGGAAAGCAACAGAGATGAGAGAGCCCGTCGGAGTAAGGGACAGAGGGAGAGACACAGAGACACAAAGACTGAGGGACAAACAGACACAGACAGCAGAGAAAAAGGGGAGAGAGAAAGGTGGAGAGGGAGACGCTGAGACAAGAAAAGAAACATGTTTTTCTTCTCCCGGAACTGGGAGAAGCAAGCTGGAAAACAGAAAGGGGGGGAGCGGGCGATGGGGACAGAGATGGAGTCCTTCCCTCGAACTCGCCATTCGTGCACGTCCAGTGCTCTGGGCTGACTTGATAGCCCTTGGCATCCAAGTTGTGGCTTTTAAAGCCCCGAGGGACAAAGGCGGGTGGACAGAAGGAATATGCGATGCTGTTCTAAGAGCTTTAGATCACTAGCTTGTTTAACCCTCGAAGAAACCCCATGAGATAAATACTATGATCGTCTTCACTTCACAAGAGCAAAGGGGTTGAATAACCTGCCCAAAGTCACACAGCCAGTGAGAGGAAGAGCTGGGATTTCAATGTGGGTGCCTTGGCCCCCAAAGTCAGTGCCCCAAACACCACCTGCACTAGCTGTAAAGGGGTGCTCGCTTCCTGGGTTCCCCTTCAATCTGGAGACACCTTCTGGGAAGTGGTGCTGGAGGGGGAAATGGGAGGTTGGAAGGTAAAGAGACCAACATTCCCAGTCCATAGCCACGAGATATCCCAGTCCGAGGGAGGAAGCTCAGCTTCCCTCTCCTGGGAAAGTCTTCAGTTCCAAAGAAGAGGCTGGAAAGGAAAACCACTTCTTGCGTGCAGGCTCCCGTTTCCTGCCCAGAGCCTGCCTTAGTCTTCCAGGTGGGAAAATAGAGTCAACTACCTCTGACTCTTCCAGCAGGTCCTGATTGCCTCTGCCTTGGTTTACCAGCAGCACTGAAGCCCAGAGAGATTGTACTAATCTTCGAAGGCAGCACAGTGCTTTGAGAACTTTCACTGTGATTTCCAGGGGTGAGAGGAGGAGCCTCACCACCACCCCGGCCACCCTCATCTCTCAGACCCAAGGAACAAGGCATCGTTCCCTCCCAGAAACATCCCGACATCTGAGTGCCTTACCTCTGCCCCTGACATTATAATTACACTAAGCACAAATCCCCAAACCCCAGTTCTTGCCTGAAAACATCCTACGTCTCCTCTGGGCTCCTGTGCTGTAGCGGCAGGGCAGACCCTCTGCTTCTCTCCAAAAGCGCTTGTCTGCCCAAAACATGCAAAACACCATGAAGTCCTTGACTCTCTCTGACCTTCGCCTGTCCCGTTGCAGATGGGCCTCTTCATCCCATCCCAACCCGAAAATTACACGATGGCGATGGCAAGGGAAGGGAAGAACCCACTCAGCCCACCCATAGCAAGACCGACAAAGACCGGACACCAGGCAGGACTTCCCTCACAAACTCGAGGGGCGAGGCACCTCGGCAGACAACACGACAAAGAGCACGAGGCAGCTGGGGCTGGAGTTTATTGCAGGTGGACACAGAGATTCAGAGAGGAGGGGGACGGGCTGTGGGCTCTGTGCTCAGAATCCTACGGAGGGAGGGTCGAGAGAGAGAGCAGGATATGGTCTGCCAGATGGTGGAGGACCGGGCCTGACTGCGGAGGAGCTGCGACGGGCGCGGCCCAGAGCCAGCTCCCCTCCTGCCACCCTCCCCATTCTTCAGGATGACGACTCCAGAGACGCTAGGCTATTTCATGAAGACGGAGTCCGGGCGCAACTGGGAACGGCGCATCCACTGGGGTGGGGGCGCCGGACTCTCGAGGGCCGACGGTGCAGCTCGGGGTGGAAGGGATGGTTACCCAGGTCCTCGCCTCATCGCGGCCTCCCGCGTCTCTTTAGGCGTCTGGCGGTTCCGGCGTAGGCTGAGGTCGCTGTGGCGGCGGCAGCTCGAGCTGGGGTCGCGGCCCGCCGGGGGCTCCCAGGAGGCAGGAAACCG